AATGATCCATATAGTATCCTAAAGTAAAATAAACAATGACCTCATACACCATTTTACTTTTAGATGATCATCTCATCGTTAACTCTTGACCATCATGACGTCACTTCCTTCCTTCCTGCCCAATGATTTCACTTTTCTATTTTTAGATGATCTCATTTTTTATAACGTCACCCTCTAAGGTATTGTGACGTCAGTTGCTCCCTGCCATGATTTTCGACTTATACTTCATTTTACATTTAAGTTGCACGCCAGTTAAAAATAAACAATGATGTCATAGACTATAGAAAAAAGCTGATCATGTCAAAAAACCCTTTCTACTTTAAGCTGATGTCATCCCACCAGTTACCATATTAAATGATTACTTTAGATAACGATCTCATAGTTTTCTTGATGACGTCAACTCCCTAGATTCTGATGCACAATACCTTTCTATTTTTAGCTGATGATCTCATCATTTCAATTCCCTGAGCTATTGTGATGTCAACTCCACCACGTCCACCACCGCGTTGAACCCCTCGTCTACTTCTACTCTCGCAACTGAGTGTAAGTGTAATGTAGGAGATATCAAGAGGTGAGTGAAGCCATAATGAGGAAGACAATGAGAGATGAGAATAGATATCTAGAGATTAGTGAAGGCGTGATAAGGAAGATACTCAGAGATGAGTGCAAGCGTAATGGAGAAGATATCCAGAGATGAGTGAAGGCGTGATAAGATGTAGCCTTTGTACAGCCGCCCCTTTCTCTCAAACAAAATCCGGGAGAGAGAGAGAGACAGTGGGGGGGGGGGGGTATACAGGCTAGATAACAGGCACATCCAGAGTTAAGTATAGACGTGTTGACAGAGAAAAAAGGCTTATACATAGTTTAGTGTAGCCGCCGTGTGCTCATAGAAAAGAACAAGCGTAATAAGGGAAGTATTTAGAGATAAGTGTTCCCGTGAAGTGGGAAATATTCACAAAGGAGTGTAGGTGTGATAAGGGAGATATCAAGAGATGAGTGAAGGCGTGAAAAAAGGGTGGCACAGTGGCTAGAGCACTCAGCGTCGAGGCTATACGTGGGTTGAGTTTTCTGTTGGTTCTCTGCCTTGTTCTGAGAGGTTTTCTCCGGGCTATCTAACTTTCCCCGCTTCTCAAAACCCATCAATTCTAATCCGATCTCAGAGAAACGCACAGACACGTTAAAACGAGTCCTCCCTAAGTGCTACGAGAGTAAACAAATTAAAACTACAGTAAAATTTTTACAATAACTTAGTTAGCTAGTAACAATACACGACGCTCTATATCTGACCTTGACTCAGAGTGTTTTTCTACTGGATTTTTGTCTGTTAGTTCTTCACCATGATAAATGTACTGAGAGCTTCCAGTCAATACTGTCATTGTAGATGTGTTAGTAAAGCGCTAAAGAAAAAGGAAAAATAATATTTTATTTGCTACTCTGGGTTGGGATTGTTTTGTTTCAACGGATGTTACTTCAAATAGCTATCAACGCAACTCGTTAAGTGAAATCAGCTTCGGCCTCTGGCTCGGCTGATAACAATTACCTCGATCTTGATTATTATGAATATCTTAAGGTATCAGCCACCCTTCAGGACCGTCCGCGCGCGGATCGCTGTAGCGTTAGTTGTTTTTACAAAAACCCCTATAAACCATATATTTTTTAAAAGCTTAATAATTCCAGATTATGGATTTGAACTAACAAAAACGATTTACTCAAATGTGTTTCGAAATTGGAACGCTTTGTGTAAACGTACACGTCTCTATAAATCATGTTCCACTCCCGCCGGAAATAAACGGAAGAAAACAATTAACACCGCATTTGCTTCTCAACATGTTCCACTAAAAAACCGTGTCTCAGATTTTTGACAAGTGCGTTTGTTTTTCTTTTATTAGCAAATGAAGTTGGGGAAGGCAATTAGTCAACACTCCCTGTGGAAAAAAAGCTCTAGCTTTAAAATGAAAAGGGGTATTAAAATTCGCAGACACGATTTTGTAGAAGAGATATATGGCATCACTCTGGCCAAATTTTAGCCAAATTGATTGAAAGGCTGCCGACTTGGACTTCAAAACGTACGAGTCGATCGGCAAAATTTGCGTTCGGAGATAAAAAAGAAAATACATTTTTGGCGGCATCCCACCTGGAATGAGATTATAACACCTAAATGTTTATTCTGATTGATATCAGAGAGGGATCAATTTTCTGTAACAATAGGACTTTGACAGGTAACATGTAACAGGAAAACTTCCAGTCTTTTACAACACGAGAAGCACGGTTTAATTATTTCTCGAGCAAAAGTTTTGCCTCTCCTTCGATCTTTTTTGTATGATTTGTTGATCGGCGCCAGGCCAAGGAAACTAAAAAATTTTGAAGCCGCCGAATGTCCACCGCCGATTGCTCGAAGGCCAAGAACTGAGGTCCGGTTTATTTCAAACGCTCTGCTCTTCTCGAAAGAATTAAAAACTGAATTTGTCTTGTGCGACGGACAGCTTTCATTCTCGCGCTGGATTCTCCAGGTAGAACCAAGTCCATGCTTAGTCGCTACATTTTCCATGACTTGGACTCTTCCCCGGCAAAATTGACAAGATACAGACTCGTCCAGTTTCTCAAGCAGCTTTTCTCTCGATACGATAGCCCGACCGCTTATTGTTTTCCACGTTCCATCAGCAGATGGGGTCGATGAGCTTAATTGGCTTTCTTCATCTGGCTCTTCAACCTGGATTTTGGAGCGGCTTGCACTCTCAGCAACTGCAGCATTTTCGCTTTTCTGAATATCCAACTCCTCGAGCCACTTCTCTTGCTGATAAAATTTTGCGGCCCATTCGATTCTTTTTCGCTCTCGGTTTCGATGACGAAAACGGACACGGCCTTTTCTTTTTTCTTGGCAGCATTTTCACCGAAGCAAACGCTAAATATCCACGGAGAATACTAAAAGCTATAAACAACGCGAAGACAATTCGCACGTGTTGTGTCCAATCACGCACGCGGAATCACGTTACTAGTTCACAGGCAAGTTAATTGATATGACACGGGTATGACAGATCTTGTCAACGATCAATTAAGATAATTAACGAGAAAAAATCTTTTACCACCGACATCTTTCGACAGAAATAATATTTTCTTCTGATTTTTTTTTTGAAAGAAAGCTCTCAAGCATATCTATTTGAAAACGTTGAAACCTCAAATATGGAAAAATGGCAATTTTAAGGGTGGCTGATACCTTAAAACCCTCATCCAATATTTTTTTAAAAAGTTTTCATTAAGAATCAGGGAAATAACGTGAATTACTGCGCTTCTGCAAAGACGGTACTTACCATGTAGTAGGGTGCCATCTTCCCCTTATCGCAGCACTTTACAACAACCAACACTATAATGGCCGCAATCAGACCTCCGACCAATAACCCGAGTAAAACACCAAGCGCAAAGTATCCAAACACTTTACGGGGCTACAATCAACAAATTTCACAAGTAAATATGACAGATTCGGTCGGCGGGAAGCAAGACACAGTTAACATCGTAGGACCTGGCCCTTTTCACTGTTTTCAAGTGATATCTTGTAGCGGCTCTGTAGCTGACTTCGCACAAGCACCGTCCCTGTTATCACGCATATTGCAAGAAGATGACTGAAAGCAAGTCAGATTTAGCACTATTTTGCCTGCAAATGCAGAATGGAAAGAATTGTGATATCAAGGTTTTGGCCCACTTCATTCCAAGTAAATTAGTCATTTTAATCTCATGTTGCCATTTCCTTGCTTCACTCAGCTGTTTTTGACGAAGTGTCTTGGCTATTTGGCCAGAGGAGGTGCTCGACTTGCCGTAAGTACGCTATGCTGTGGTACTATCTATCTGCTGAGCATGAAAAACAACGACAAAAGCAGAAGGGCTCTCACAGCTACTCAAATATTAGGTGTGCAACAAAACAAATATACCCTTAAAAACCTGGTTGCCATTGGCAATCCTGAAGTAAATGGCTACATGCTGAGTAATATCAACACTTTTAACATTTCATCAACTCACTTCTCTAGACTTCACATGCACATATCAGTAATCGAGTGCAAAAGCTAACCAGAGCAAAGCGAGAAAGCGTAAGCAAAAATTCTACCTCTGCTTCATCTACATCATTCCTCTGGAGACAAGCTGTGCTGGAGTCACTTCTCAGTCTGTAGGTTGGACTGTTCAACTGTCAATGGAACAAATACTTGCCATAAATGACAACTCAAAAAACTAATATATACATTATTAAAATTTGAATTACGGCAAGGTCCGATTTAGACATCAAACATCACATTTGCCAAAATTTTAAGTAATAAGCGTTAGATTCCGAGCGTGAGAAATTCTACGCTAAAAACATGGCCATCAGGGTGGAAAATCCTCATCTAGAAAACATTTATGTCTTTCCTCGTGCCAGTAATTTAAATCACCCTTACGACAGCTAGGAAGCGTTTCTTGAAGCTCGCTCGCGGGGGGCCTTAAAATCAAAGTTTACATAAGGGACGGACTATTAGAAAAGTTATGGGGGAAGGGGAATCTTCGAGCCGCAGGAATTTTTTTTCGTTACCAAATTCCTTGTATAAATTTTTTTTAGGCCATAGCATGATAAATTGGCTGGGGGCAACTGTGCGTGGCCGCTCAATGAAGTTCTCATTAGATAAAGTCCTATATTCTCAAAAATTCAAAAATTAATAAAGTCCGCTCATTAGCCCCCGTAAAGGTGAGGCTACAGGACGCCAAGAAAATTGCATAACCACCTAGAAAAAAGAGGGTAGAAAAAGAAAACGAGGCAGGCTGAAAAAAAATGTGTTGCATGGAAACCGCTCCAAAGTTACATGTCTGATAACACTCTGAAGGGTGACAATTCACTTATTGCCTCTTCCCCTCAGAATCACTAAAACAGCTTAAATTGAAACTGAAATCAGAGTGGCAACGGAATGGTAACCCCTGAAACTCCCAGGTTCACTGAAGTGAACACACTTTACGCCACGCACAGTACAACTGAGAAAGAATTTCAAAATGTAATTCGCTAATTTCAAACAGCTTGTGCCTATTTCCTACCTGTACACTCTTCCATACCACTTCTGCGGGAATTCGTAGAGTGCTTGGCTCCTTACAAAAGTGAAAAGTCAACAGCTCGAAAGACGCAATAGCCATGATAAATACTAAATTAATCTACAGCCGTAAATAGCAAATAGCAGCCTCTATAAAGTTACCAGAAATACTTTATTGCAAAAATCTCGCGAAGCTAAAAAAGGGTTAGCAGTGAGACTGAATAAGCGGAAACAAGCCGAAGGGTAAAAATACGATGAAAGAAAAAAAGCTGGAAGAAGCCCCGCCGGGATTTGAACCTGCACCCCAACTTCCTCCTGCGCAGAAAGCAATCCTCATACCACTGGGCCATGCGAACAGCACACAGTTTATTTAACAGTTAATGAATGAGGCTGAGTATCTTATGAAGAATTATGGAGATCGAGGAGGGTGTTATCCGTCGAGGCCGTAGGGCGAGGCGGATAACACCCTCCGAGATCTCCATAATTCTTCATATGATACAAAAGCCGAATTCAATAACTGTTTTATTATTCATTAAAAATAATTCCGAGTTTAAAAACATAGCTAAAACATGCTCACCTCCATCGATCCATCGATGTTCAGTTCATCTTCGATAGTGTACGTTTAGGTTTGTCCAGCTCCGCAAATATTCTCCAAACAGCACATGTCGCCCTTCTAGTTGTCTTCTTGCTATGTTTTTAGCTATTTTTTCGCCTAGTTCTTACTCTTGAAACGAGTGAAATGTCCTCCATTTTTTCAAGTTCACAACCAAAACAACCTCGTCCCAAGGTCTTCTCGGTTAACGGTGCCTTAACCTGCGAAAACGCTGCATTTTTGACTTCATTTCCTCGTTAAAGTCAAAATTCTTCCAAATTTGGTCATCAGTAACTGGTTATGGTGAATTAAACGTGTGCTTTTAGCCAATCAGAATCGGGGAAATATTTTGAATGAATAATAATAAAAATTAATAGTGTTGACGTATTTTTCTCTGCCATCCACGCTGTTTGAACCTTCTGGAGCCGCATTTATCATGAATTCAAAGATACATTTGAGGAAAAATAGCTCAAACGAGCATTTCAAAACCATTTCGCATTATTTCCGTGTTTATTCACTCTCGAGCTTTATATAGGCCGCTCGACGAACTCACTTGTCTTCTTCTTCGTTCCTCTCGCTGAAGTTCTAGTCGCCGTTCTTTCACTGTTAAATCTTTTTGTACGGCAAGGATTTCCAGCCACTTGTCCAATCGGACACTGTTGTGTTTGCAGCCCGCTGTTACTTGTCTCACAAATACTTTGCGATTCGCCAGGCGATTCGCCAACGTACAGTAAACAGAGGATGAATAAAATGAGCCCTAGTCAGTGGCCGTGTGGCCAGGAAACCCAAAATGCGCGATGACGTCATGCTGAATGGCGTATTTAGGATTTGTTTAGGACTAGTTGCTAGGCAACTGCGGACACCAAACCGATAGAAAGAAAGATTTATGACCAAAGCGAAATCGCACTCCTCTTGCGATCCTCGCGTGGCGCGCGACAAAATTATAAGAGAGATTAAGAGTCACGTTTACTGCAAAAGGCGAACGTCAGATTCAAGTTGAGAATTTCTCAGAACAGAAAATAAGCGGATAAAAACTGTTCAGAAAAATTGTTATGGATACAACTGGTGTGAAACTACTGTGTAGAAGTAATAAACAGTAAACGACAATTAAGGGGGAAACTTTGTCACGTAGTACAAATTCACGTTTGCCGTTTTGCGCAAACGTGAATCTCTCTAAAAACTCGCTTCGTTCGAGGCCTAACGGCCGCTCGCTCCGCGAGAATTATACAGCGTTTTCACTTACGTGGCCAGCCTCTACGCAAATTTATTGCAACAAAACAAAAGTGTTTAAGTAAGAAAAGAGTCTAACTCTACAGGATTGGTTTGAAACACCAACATGGCCGCCGTTTCATTGTTTGGGAACACCAACATGGTCGCCGTGACGTCATGTGAAAACGCTCTACATTACAAAGAGCCAAGGAAACTGTACCAACACTTCCCACTTTGCCTGCGTCGCAGACGCTCTAAACCTTCTGTATATAGCGTCTGCGAATTAGTGCACAACATCGTGTTCGAATGCCGCAGAGTCGCAAGGACATATGTCGTCGTTTTTGATTGGCTAATTTCTTACACAGTTTGCGATTAGTCCGATTTGAATTAAGTGTTGACAGGTCAAACATGACTCATAGCTCGTGACAAGAGAGACTGAGCTCGTGATAGTGTGAAACGTGACCTTAGAGTAGACAGTTTGAGCAACAGAGGTTTTTCTTGCTCTCTTTTTGCGTAGTTTATGCAGTGCGTGGAGTATTCTACACTTTGACTAAGCAATTTTTTTTCCGCTTTGAGTCTCACATTTAGAGGTTATGAAGCTGATTTGACCACAGATTCAGTTTACCACTAAAACATTTTTCTTTTACCTCTGCTTAAGCCTTAAACTTTTTTATTGCCGCTAAATAACCTTAGTTTCTTTGGTTTTCTCGGAAATGCCTGGACCTGAATAGCTGCATGTGTGTACTTTTTTTTCGCCGTGAATATCATGATTTTCTAATTTGTTTTGACTCCAGAACTGTCGGCTAGATTGCAGAATACGCGGCAGTGCATCTGCAGCGTTTGGAAGACGCTGGGAAACCAGTCGGCAAATTTACAAGCAAATTATGGCGTTGAAGGAATCCTCTCAAAGCATTTTTTTTTTGTTTAGAAGACGGCTTTAAGGTTCGAACTGCTCTTTCATTGTTTATTGTAAACGATCCTTGCCGACTCCCTTCTGTGAATTTTGACATGTCACTGCGCCCAACCGTCACGTACACGTAAGAATTAGGCCAATCATGAGGCTTATAAGAAACACGTAAGAAATCCGCCTATCCGAAACGTTCACATATGTCCTTGCAACTCTACAGGATATTAGAACGAGCTTTTGTGCACTAATTCGCAGACGGACAATACAAATGGTTTAGACGAGTGCGTGGGCCGGCTGCAACGCAGGCTATTCCCACTGGAACTCTTACAAACGTGACAATTGCAATAACTCGCTGAATCTTATTAAGTAAAATCACTGATTTCGCTGTTGAGACTGATACATCTCATCCTCGGAGACCCAGGGGCAGATAAAGGGGGCGAGGGAAAGTCTAAACGGGCGGAAAAATATATACGGAACGAAAAAAAGTAAAGAATGGCGAGAAAAGCCCCTGGGGACAATGTCTTACCAGACTAGTTCCAAACGGTCGCCGCGTTCTGGCTTCTGATTGGTGCCAGAAAACTTGTGTTTTTCTGGCACCAATCAGAAGCCAGAACGGCGGCGACCGTTTGGAACTGGTCTGGTAAGACATCGTCCCCAGGGGCTCTTCTCGCCGTTCTTTACTTTTCTTCGTGCCACATTTTTCCGCCCGTTTAGACTTTCCCTCGTCCCCACTATCTGCCCCTGGGTCTCCGAGGATGGATACATCTGGAATGTACAAGACAATTTGTTATACAGTCACATTTTCCTAAAAAAAGCATATTACCGACCTTTTCTTCTACTCGGAAATGGGCCACATAGATAAACGATCTTGTCTCGCCGACTAGAAATAGTAAATATAAAAGGAGAATATTTAAAATATTAACGGTCGAAAATCAGAGGCACCCAACGAGAATATAGTTCAAAACCACTTAAACATAGCATTGTTAAACGTATTTTAGTATTTAAAGGGTAGATATACGCATATTTTTATCCCCTAAAAATTTTTCATCTGTTCGGATTTCCTAGCTGAAAGTCAAATTCTGGGTGACCTTTTTAGCGTAAAAATTCGTTAAAAATGGGAAATTATACAATTTTTTTAGATGTTCGAAAATCCTAGGAGAGGCAGGCAAGCAAGAGATTTTACAACAAATGCTCCGAAAATTCTAGATCTCAAATCATCTTCCGAACGGATATTTTCCGAAAATTGACGTTGGGTGCCCCTGGAAAATGTTGTCTAATACAGTGAAACCTGTATTAAGCGGACACCCTCTATTAAGCGGACAGTAGCCGAAGTCCCCAAATTTATTTCCCTTATTTACTTTAAATGAAACCTTTATTAAGCGGACACCTCTATTAAGCGGACGCGGACACCTAAAAAGTAACTAAAAAGGGTCATTTCTATTGTTGCCAACCTGTATTAAACGGACACTTGTAATTAAATTCCACCACCGAACATGCCAGACACCGGAAATGCGAAAGATTGCCTCGAATTGCCACCCACAAATTTTTCGATTTTTACATTAAAAAACGTGACTTGACGAACTTATTTGGTTAGTTTCACAGTACAGGATTGTTTTCTATTTCGTTTTGTTTGTATAGAGCTTTCACTCATCTGATTTCTTCAAATCTGAGTTGCAATCCATGTTTATGGTACTATGTTTGATAAAGAAATTAATGCAAACGTCTATCGTTATAGTCTCCGGGAGTATTATAAACGCTTCCACTGTTCATTTGAATGGCATTTGACACCTCAAATGACGTTATATATCGAAACCTGTATTAGGCGGACATTCCCCGAGGGTGTCCGCTTAATACAGGTTTCACTGTATTAAAAAAAAAACCTCACTTACTTCGTAGACTTGGTAAAATAAACCGGACTCCAAATACGTTCTTGCCAGGATAACTGATGAATACGCCTTTCGTTGAAACAGCAGAGTCATAGATGTCCATTCCTTGAGCTGTATCCGTGACAGTCAGATTACGAGCATCATAAAGAGAACCAATTGCGTGACTTATTGTGATGTTAAAAGCCACTGGAGGTGAATCACTTTCATCTTGTAATACCTTTGTATTGTAAAGATGAATCTAAGTCATAAGTATTCTCTCCAGTAAAATGGAACTATCTTGAAGACCAGGTTGAAGCAGGGGTAGGGTGGGGAAGGATAACATTCAAATACTTGTATATAAAAAATTACCCTCGAATACAGGTTGGTTCCATTTTCTTAAAGAGAAATGGATGAAATAAATTTGCCAGCAAAACCGGGATAGACCAGATAGAGAATATTGGTTGAAACCTCTCAGGAAACATATGGTGCCCTTGAATAGAGGAAAATGCATGTCATGCCTTTGAGGCATTAGAGTATATCATCACCTGCTGAGCATGGGAGGGTGCTATGGCGAACTACCTTGATATATATATATATTTATTTTTTTGGGGGGCGGTACTGTCTTATCTGATGTCTTATACTCCTCCTTTACAGGAATTGAAGAAATTTTTGTAAAAGAAATTTTAACAAAAATCATTAGATTCCTTAGTATGAAAATGGTCGGCAGCGTTGTTAAACTTTCTGATTCTACTTTCCTAGGTTGGCCAATCCCGCGTCACTTGCTTAAGCTGTCAAAAGGTATCAGTGTTCTTACCTTCACGGTTTTGTTAATTGACAAAAGCGGTTTAAGCAGCGGTCCTATTATTTTGAACTTTTTAGAAGAGCTGTCTGAACCTGCATCAAAGTTCAATAAAGCAGTCAAGTAAAGAGGTCTTCCACTCAGAACCAAAGGATTGTTTGCAGTTCCAAATTTCAGGAAAATTTCCACGGTGTCATTGGGTCCAGAACCAGGAAGGTTCTCTAACAAACCAAAGGCAACGTTCAAAGACACATGATTGACAAATGTGATGTTCAGGCGCTGCATCAGCGTGAAACCATTTCCAAACTTAACATAACTTTCATTCAGAAAGGGAGTGAGCACGTATACCAGGCCAGAGCTGCGTTTGACACGTGACCTGTCCCAAAGAAAACAGCTAAAATTAATAGTTATTCAAAATATTTCTCCGTTTCTGATTGGCTTCACGACCCCACAAGCTTTCTAGCTTTAACTCTCATCGTGTCAAAATAAAGGTTTTATGTTATTTTATGTTTTTTTGTGTGTGTGCTATGGCTTAAATCCCCCGGTTAAATCTTAATAACCAGTTAGCTTTGACCAAATTTGGAAGACGCTTGCGATATCTACTAAAATGATGTCAATAGTACAGGGCACCGACAGAAAAAGGGATCGCAACTAAGAAGCCCTAGGGACGAGGCTGCGTTAGCTGAGCTGTTTTGATAGCTGAGTTACAGAAGATGGCGGAAAATTCCAGACGTTTTGCGAAGAAGAAAAAGCCGAACTACTGTCTAAAAACATAACTGGAACAGCAAAAAATACAACTCAACGGATGACAACTTCGATTTGAAGAATATCTGCTAAGCTAAGCATCCTTTTAGTATATCCTGATTTTGTCGAGAAACAGGCAAACGAAGACCGAGGGAAGCACGATCAGGTAAGCAAGTTTCAGCTCATTTTAAACGTATAAATTATTTTGAATGAATGATCCATAATAATACAGTGATAAATTGGATTCGACCTTCGTATGATCTGAAGAAACAGAATGGAGATCTCAGAAAGGAGTTATCCGCTTCGACCGATAACAAACTCCTCAATCTCCATATTTTCAGATCTTACGAAAGCCGAATCCAATAATAGCTAAATATGAATAAGTTAACCTGTCTGCTAGGCGTAACTCTAACTTTTCTATACAACATTCCCCCCTTACCCTATCCTGCCTTACCGTTTACAACCACGACAAAGATGAATGCTAAGTAGATCGAGACCTTTAAAATGAGAACGCCTTGAAGATGTCGCTTACATATTAGTTATATTTTTATAGTGTTTTATCGTACAATAGACGTAAACATATCTATAGCAAAGGAACAGTTTTCCTCACACGGGCTACTTGAAGTACCTGGAACACAAACTACACCGGAACCCTCCATTATGCTGTTACCCATTCATACACTTAGGCCTCTATCGATTATCCTAGTAAAATAAAATATTACGCTTCTCACAATGCCAATTTTTTTCCAAATCATGCTCAAAGCTATTGTTTTTCAACGTATGCGATTATGTAATGGGTTCATTTCGCGTCCAATGCCCCCGGTCTTCTATTTGCCTTAATGTCAGACTCCGATCTGTACAAATTTGAGCGAGTTCTGGCCAATCGGGCGGCTGTTCTTCAGTTGCTCGACGCCATTTTGCAGCCTGTGAAAGCGGGAGCTGAGACCGACGCAATCTTTGCTTCCGGTGTGCCCAGCCCTCTGGATGACGAACGACGCACTATAACTTCCTTCATAAGTAAGTGAAATATTATCGTCCGGGTAGATGTAGTCCTAAATAAGAGTGTGACTCACAGAGGCTGTAGTTTCGACAACCTGTGCGGTACACAGTAGTGATCTTCAGAGTGAAAGGGAGTTGTATCCCGTCGCGTTGTTATTTATTTGTCGTCTGTCAGTTAAGCTGTAATGGCATTGGTTATGAAGACTCTACGCGTGAGTGATGCATTTCGATCCGTCTTTTGTCAAAGAAACAACAGACGTTATAGTTAATGAAATTGTCGGTTTGTTCGGTCACTCTATTGTTGTCACTTTTCCTTGAGTTCGTCAATAAGTCGTTTACAAGGTACTGGTTCGCAAGGTAGAACAAACGCCGCTAAATCGTAGTCAGCAGTTGCCGGCACCGTACAAACGACTTGTTGTCAGTTTAACTTCCGCCACCGTCAACAACAGTCCACTAATTCAGGACTACACTCACCCGGACGATGATATTCCACATACTTATGAGATGACTCCTGGGTTCAAACCATTAAATTCCTATTATCGGGACTTTCGAAACGAGCCCTAGGGCCGCCTGCAAGTAATACGCATAAGGATAAAGAATATTATGCTCCTTTTCCAAAATTATGTCACGCATGTGAACAATTGTTAAGAGCCGGGACCGAGAGAGACAGTGTTAACCAATGTCGTTTATGTATAAGGACACCGCATAGTGAGAATATATTTTACACCCAAATGCTATTACTGTGTTTACGTAATTTAAAAGCACCTTGAGCAATTATGCAATTTTACGGATAAAACACGACCAAATTAGTTTGGGATCTTACCAAAGTTTAGCTTCTTCTCTGCGTGCATCTCTCCTCCTACGAAACAATTCAATAACATTGCGAGGAACAGTTGGCAGTTGAAAATCAACACTCAGGTTGGTAACACATTCTGGCAATTGTAAATAAAAGGTAAAATTAACAGGATCCCCAGCCTGCAGTTGCTCGGCGTTCTGACTCGTGACGGCTGTGGTGTTTATCGGTTTGGTTGTGACATTAGCAAATCTTTTCTCCTTGTAGCTTGCGGCCGTAAGAGGTCGGTTCACTGCAGACAAACTATAGTACTCGACGGCCACTATTTGAGACACCAACTTCTTTGGGCTGATATGGTCTTTAATAAATGATACGTAGTTGCAGGAAATAGTAATGGATGGACCCATGTTTGAAATAAACAGCTGAGACTCCAAGGTTCTGTTATTGAAAGACACAGAATCACTACTGCATGTTCTGTAGACTCTGTTACCATCAATGGCCTCAAAGGTTGCCAAGACGGAAAGGTCATGCGCGGTGGTTGACTGAGCAATGTTACTAAGAGTGAGATTGTACTCCACTCTATCACCGGCATCAAATGATCCGGCAAGAACCTCAAATGTGACCGATAGAAAAGGAGGAGGTCGGATTGTAAGGAATGTACCCTGGTGAGTCAACAAAATAAAGGTAAAATTACTGTCAGCACACCAAAAATGTGCGTCACTAATGCACAAAGTGTGTATTACCAAGTGAACAACTACTGACTCAAGAGATGGAGCCACTTCGTAACTAGGCATAGCTTAAAGACTTATGTATGATCACATGTATTGATCACATGTATCCCATAGGTTTTAACCCAACTAAACATTTAGAGGCGTTAAAGGCGTAGCCACCTGACTGCCTGTATATGTAGAAGTTTACCTCGCAAAACTGTCGAAGATAAATTACAATCATAAAACAAAGAAAAGGCCAGAAAGGCAAAGCATAGAAAGTAAAATAAGAGATGACTGAAAAAAGGTCCATGAAACATGAAACTCCGCCTGAACGTCTTTCAAATAATGTTTCCTGCGCTTGACTGCAGAGACAGGAGGTCGCGGGTTCGATTCCAGGGACCGGACCAACACTCAGGGTCTTAAAATAACTTAGAAATGAAGGTACTCCCTTTGCACTGCAAGCGGCGAGGCCTTCGCATGGCTCGGATGACCACCTAAAATGGCGGTCCCGTCTCCATTAGGAGACGTTAAAATAGTCTCCCTAATTAACACTTTCGTGCTAAATGCATTGGCACTCAAATAAAGTGCATCATCAGCGTTTTCAAAACAAAATGAAATGTTTCCCTAAATTTTGCCTCAAGCAAAAGTCGTACTTTGCTGGCAGCCTAAAGAACACGGTCCCACATGACCAAGAGGGATGTTAACTTCACCATACTGATTAAAAACACAAATTTGTCTTGACACACGCATGGAAAAAAAACAATTTAGGAGACTGGCTAGGCGGGGTTGATTTAGGAAACTGTGCGTACTTATAGGGAAAATTTCTAAACTACGGCCCTGAAGGTTTCATTTTACCAATAACTATCCTTAGGTTTTTAATTATTCTGGCTATAAAATGGAGCTGAAACTCAACTAGGACTTGCCATATCAAAAGCACTCATAAAACAAAGTTATCTAACTCCGGTTTATACTTTAAACGATTCATAGATTGTTACGACGGTTGCAATGATGCGCGCCAGAGAATTCTTAGAGTCCTTATTCTTACAGATTGGCCGCTTTACTCAAAATAAAATAGTCTGCAAAGGAACAACCACCACCAAATGATAAGCTGTTAAATAGAAAATAATACCGAAAATCCTTGAACAGGTCACTACTTCTTCATTACTTTAAAGTGACACCTACACATGCTATAGGTTAGGTCTTCTGCTAGGAGTGTAGTAAAATAAAGTTGATTGATTAAATCCACCTAGCGTAGTCAATCGAACATTCGGTAATCGGAAGACTCAATCTGAATTGAACTCAATCCATGGACTGAGATTCTGTAAACTGGATATCTGAGAAGAAGAAATTACTATTGTAATGGAAAGGATAAACAGTAAATGAAGTAGTAAAAATTCATATTCGGAAAAAGACTACTGTTCGTTTGTGTTCGATTAAACGAAATTCTTTGGTGAGTTTCATTGAAAGTTCGTTCGATTCTACTGGACTGACGGCTATGACGGAACTATCTATAGCCGAAAATGACCTTCACCTAACCTGATTTGAGTTGTGTGTATAGTTTCTTCCTTCACGAGGTGCAAGACTAATTGGAAGCGTTGCATATGCCAGGTGAACAGGCAATGACACATAAATGCTTGCTTGAAGGTCACTGACTGTTGTGGCCTTAAACTTAAAAGACACTGTCTGCCCAAGAAGTAGATCTTCTCCCTTGAATAAAAGCACTTTTGTATTTCTGTTTCTGTACCTGCAAAAAACGACGTCATAATAAACCTACCGTGAACACATTTTAAAGGCAACAAGAAAGTTTTTTAGTATTCATTTTTTTACACCTAGATGGGAAGAGACAGCATAAAAACAACACAATTTCCCCACCCCAAAAGATACCAGCCTAAACCACTGAGGAATTTATAGACACACAGGGGTGAAGCCTCCACTCCCCTGTGCCCCACTTGGCATTCAGATCCAGTTAAGCCACGATTCGTTTTCGTGATTTAAATATTACAAGGCCCTGGAAAGTCTTATTTTACATCAAAGTCATACAGTTCCTCTTGCTTGCTATTTAGTACTAGCCTCACAAGTGTAAGTAATGTACTTTTCATAACATTCCATGTACTACATTACCTAACGTCACCACTAGGAGATTGATCTCCATCTACTATCTCTAAGCTGCGTCCCGCCGGATACTCTGTTATTTGCGTATCACTGAAGTGGTCATGAGGCACAGCTATTTCAAGGCCCACCCTAAAAGCGTATGATGTTGACTCTTGGGAATCCTCCAGCCGGACCATGTACGTCACAGCAGAGTTTGGTTCAACTTCAGAAAAGCGGGATGGAGTAACAGTCACTCGCAATTCAGGCTCAATTACCTGGAAAAAGAACGAGAAACTTACAATACTAATAGGTAGGATTGGAAGCTTTCATCTTTGTTCATAACTTTTTTAATCCTCACTGCCAAACATGTAACATGATTCTTTACACTAAGAAGAGCAATTAGAACTCATGGAAGAGTAGCATAAAAATTAAACCCTTTTAAAAGTAAATACTATTTCGCCTTCTCTTACATTCAATACAAATCCAGCCGTGGCCTTTAACGTTTAAACACGAATGACCAATATAATTGAAGCTCATTCAATATTATTCTACTTTTCATAATTTTCTTTGTGACTGTTACTTCCTTTGCTATTTATACTAGGCAATGACGGAAAACAAACTCAGTTAGAATCAAGTACTTTCCACACTCACTTGCAAAGATTGGACATGTGGTGGCTGCCTGATCATACCATTGACAAATACATCAAACGTGACTTCCAAGACGTGACCATTTGTAATATTCTCACCATTAGAGGCCTGAATTGTTACCTCATATTCAATTTCACTGTCTGAGGGCTGTGAAGAACTTCCAGTATTCACAATAGTACCAAAGTTGCCTCTGAGAGTTTTTGAGTTTCCGGTGATGTTAAAATCTGTTAATAATTGCATCATTTTATTAGTTTAATTGCTAGGATGAATAACAGGCATGTTGCTCGCTATTCGTCCCTCCTTAAGGGCCATAAGCACTCAGTACACAACCATGGGGGGAGGAGTACATTTTAGCCTGTGGACAGGCTCTCACCCTTTTCCTTCCCTCTCTCGTGATTTTTTCACCCTTTCCCCAAACAGAGAGCCTGTTCACAGGCTAGGTACATTTTAGTTTCACGAAAATAACTGCTAAGAATACTGCTACGCATTTCACTCACACTGCGAAATGTAGCCTCTACTTGCAGGGTATGGCAATCGTCCATCGTTCTGCTGATATGATAAGCTAGCTTGATTTACTCGTGTGCTTAGGAAACTTTGTTGGTAGTGGACTGATTGTTACATTCGCTGCCTCAAAGTAAATTAAGCCTGACAAATTTTAATCGTTTCCCATCAAAGATTTGTGAATGATAAGCTCATGTCTGGAGAATCCTCCAAGCGCTTATACACACTCTAATTAACTATGTACACAGTTATACGCCCCTGATAACTAACATCCGCGCTCATCGACTTTCGGTCCATAATTTCGATCAAACACAAGATTTTCTCTCTCGTGGTCTGTGAATTTTTTGCGCTTTTTTAAGAGAGTAAAACGAGACAAACAAATGAAAATTTCAGGTTTGCATTGATACTCTCAAAACAGCTGCGCCACAGAATGTCAATGAACACACACGTAACGCAAAAGGGTATCGACCTATGGCTGTACAATAAATGTCACTAGATCAACCCAAGCGGTCCATTTGGGAATTTTTTATTTTAAGTCATCCTAATCATTTCTTACTCGTGGGCTTGTAACATTGTTTAACGTCGTCATTACTCAACGATTCCGCGCGGCCCCCGTTCAAGCAAATCGAGACTTTTTTCTGGTATATTAACTCCTTTTTTTAACTGTAAGTACTTTCCTCTATATACGCGCAAGCTACAAGGATGCCTCCTCAAGATTTCGCCTTCCGGGCGAAATCCCTGCGGGGGCAAAAACCAACCGCTGCTGACCAAACTTGGAAGATGCGAACAATATACCATCGATTCGATGGTATATTTGATGGGAAACGAGGTTGATCGATGGTATAGACCCCGATCATATGGCGGCCTATTAATATATTCTTTTACATGTATGATAATTAGCCTTACTGACCTCGTTAGCATGCGTAAAGTTTCTTTCAAACGAGGTCTGAATGGCTAATTATCATACATAGAAAAGAATATATCAATAGGCCGCCATTATGAAAGAGGTCTATATTTGATTGGAAACGAGGCTGCATGGGCAATACACCATCGATCAAGGTCGTTTCCAAGCGCAGCTGCCTAGCTGTCTATTCACGTGGGAACTAGACTGCGAGCAGGCTCTCCTATTTGGGCGAGCGAAGCGAATCTCGCGAGACCGCGCGAGCGAGCGGCGAAGCCGCGAACGTGGGAACTAAAAAACAAATGGCGTCCACGGCTCTCTTAAGACGAAATAGCTAAATTTCTGTCTAAAACTGAACGGAAGGAAAGCAAGAATATGTAAAACATACTGCTCGATGGATGTTATCAACTTTTTGAGGAGTATCTGCAAGAAAAAGCCTGTCTTTACATCCTGAAACTGTGCCGAAAAATAGGCCAAAGAAAGTCGGTCTACGAGGAGGTAGGCTTGTTAACAACTTAAAACTATTTTGAATGAATAATGAAACAATTATTGAATTCGGCTTTCGTAAGATGTGAAGAATTACGCAGATCTCGGGGGATGCTATCCACTGAGGCTGAAGGCTGAGGTGGAAAACATCCTCTTTAATCTGCATAATTCTTCACATCAAACTAAGCCTCACTCAATAATTGCTAAATATCGAAGCTAATCCCCAGGGATTGTAGCAAAATATACCATGATGCACTACGTAGGCTGGTCTCCCACGCATCCAACGTTCGTGGGGAGAAAACGCGTGACGAAGGCCTAAGAACGTCTGCGTCAGGCGCTGGGTGGGAGGCTACGCTTGGGCTCACCCATTTCAAGATGGCTACCACCACGATCGCCGAGAAAACGGGTGAGTAGAAAATGAAGACCTAAGGCGTAAAAACGAAGACCCCTCTCAAAATCAATTATTGAAATAGCTAGAAACGGTGGATCTTGTTTACTGTGGGTAATGTCGACTGAGATATCGGTCGACATAGCGGTCGATATAGCGGTCGACAGTCGGTCGATATAGCGGTCGACAGTCGGTCGATAGTCGGTCGACAGTCGGTCGATAGTTGGTCGATAGTCGGTCGATAGTCGGTCGATAGTCGGTCGATGGTCGGTCGATAGTGGGTCGATAGTCGGTCGATAGTGAGATAGACTATCGGCCGAGTATCGGTCGATATTCCGTCGACGCACCTCGACTTACTATCGGTCATATGTCGGTGATATATCGGTCAACTGTCGGTGATATATCGGTCAACTGTCGGTGGTATATCAGTCAACTGTCGGTGGTATATCGGTCAACTGTCGGTGGTATATCGGTCAACTGTCGTTCGAATATTAGTCGTGTGTTAATTTATCAAGTGAGTCCAATGGCTTTTTTTTTAAGCAAAGACGTCATTAATTACTGTTATCATGCGATGGGGAACATGTGGCAAAGTAAGGCGCGATTACGCTATGAAGAGAACCTAAGAGCACTGGGAACTAAGGACATGATAACCTTCTTTTTTCCAGTTTGTATCATCACCGATCGTCTGAGTTTTAGCTGTTAAACAGAACCTGTCTCAGCCTAAGTTGAGTCTGCTGCTCCTGTGGTCCCGCAAAAATGTAGGAAAATGTAGGAAATGCTAAGTGTCGACCGACCATCGACCGAGTGTCGACCAATTACTGACCGACACATCGGTCAAGTATCGACCAACTATCGACCAAGTATCGGCAAAGTGTCGGCGAAATGTCGGCGAAAAGTCGGCGAACGAAAAGCTATATCGGCCGAGACACATCTGGAACGACTATCGGCCGTGTCTCGACCGAGTGTCGACCCACTATCGACCGACTATCGACCGACTATCGACCGCTATATCGACCGACTGTCGACCGAGTGTCGACCGACTATCGACCGAGTGTCGACCAAGTATCGACCGAGTGTCGACCGAGTTTCGACCGACTATCGACCGAGTGTCGACCGCTATATCGACCGATATCTCTCGGTCGACATTACCCACGGTAAACAAGATCGAAACGGTTATCTCGGTCTGGGATGTGTAAGCATCAACAACGACGCAGGTCAGTTGTGTCTTATCCGATGTATGCGATATATCTGACTAATATGATCGTATCGACTAACACATGTACATTAATGAATGCATAGTATTCGGAAAATTGTCAGAATTGTACTTAAGTAACTGAACATCGAGAGTACCAAACGTAGTGCTCTACAAAGAATTACTTCGTGGCCATCATGTCGTGGAATGCAAAAAGATCATTCTTGTTGAGTCGGAAAGACAAGACCCATAGTGCTTATTGGTGACTCAATGATAAAACACATTGATCCAAAAAAGCTTTCGCAAAGACATGTACATAAATTCTCATATCCCGGGAAAACCACTGCTGAAATAGCTGAAGCTGTTGACAACATCGCTGTTGCATCCGCGGATCCTTCTCACGTCATCATCCATACTGGCACCAACAATCTTCCATCGGAGTCTGCCGATTCATGTGTCGCCGATATCAAGAGCCTTGTATTGAAGGTGAAGAGCAAGTTTCCTAACTCAAGCATTGGTCTCTCGGGTATAGTCTACAGAGAAGATATCAACGTCGATGCTAAACGCATTGAAGTTAATGAGAGGGTCAAGCTCACAGCAGTAGATGATAACTTTACTTATATTGATAATTCGGTTATTGACGCCTCAGCATTAAATGGTAGTAGACTTCATCTGAATGCCAAAGGTTCGTCATTGCTGGCCGTGCAATTTATTAAGTTTTTAAGATCTGGTTCTGGCAAGTATAATCAGTCTCTTAAGGGTTTTCAGTCCTCAGCTATCCAACAACTGGTAAAGCTTCTGATGGAACTGGGAAACCTTCCCTCTCCAGCTCGCAACAGGAGACGCCCACGCTAGCTTCTCAACCGAGTGACGTATCATTAGGTATTCCTAATCAAAACGTTGATTCATTTGAAAGTACAATTCTCTCTGATTTTCTTCCTTCTGGTCGTGGTTTTAAAATTGCAGGTTTAAACATTAATAGTCTTACAAAGCATATTGATGAACTAAGAATTCTCCTTGCCGATCGCTCCATTGATATTCTCTCAATTAATGAAACTAAACTTGATGACTCTATCAATAGTTGTGAGGTCCAAATACCAGGCTATGAATTTATTCGTCGTGATAGAAACAGACAAGGAGGAGGAGTAGGTTTTTATATAAAAACCTCGATTAATTTTGGAGTTCGCTCTGATTTGAATGCACCCAGTCTTGAAAATTTATGTATAGAGATTCGGAAACCAAACTCCAGGCCATTTCTGATAGCCACTTGGTACAGACCTCCTTGCTCCTCAATTGATTTATTTTTTACATTACGAATCATTTCTTGAGAAATTAGATTCCCTCGGCCTAGAATATTATCTGCTAGGTGATTTAAACTGTAACCTGGCCTCTGCACAATATGATTTAAATACTCGACGCTTATGTGAAATTTCTGATTTATTTGGGCTTCAACAGCTTATAACTGAACCTACTCGCATAACGGAATCCTCTTCAACATTAATTGATTTAATTTATACAAACTATACTGACAGGGTAGTCTGTTCCGGAGTCTCTCATATTGGTATCAGCGATCATAGCCTTATTTACGTTTATAGGAAATTATCTCTCACTTTTCCTTCAAAAGGGCACTCAACCATTTCTTATAGAAATTTCCAAAATTTTAATAGAGAGTTTTCGTAACGATATCGCTCAGCAAGACTGGTCCTGTAATGTTTCTGAAGATCCAAATGTTTTGTGGACTGACTGGAAAACGAAGTTTTTGGATATTGTTAATATTCATGCGCCACTCCGAACTAGACGTACTAGAACAAATAAAGCACCCTGGATCAATTCAGAATTAAAGAAAGGCATGCGTGATCGTGATGCTGCCAAAAGAAAAGCAATTACATCGAATGATCCACACGATTGGAAAAGGTACAAAAAGTTGCGAAATATAATAAACAATGACATCAAAATTTCTAAAGCATCTTATTATTCTAATGCATTTATTCAATCTAAGGGTAATCCTCGAAAAACGTGGCAAACCTTTAATGAGCTTACATCCCGTCGTGTGAATAATACAACGGTGAAAGAACTGAAATTGAATGATACCATTATCTCTAATTCTAGTGAGCTTTCTGATGCTTTTAATGACCATTTTTCAACAATTGGGCCCAGACTTGCTAATGAAATACCTCTAACTGCTGAAAATAATTCAAGTTATATCAATAATATAAAGGTAAATAACAACAATTTCAGCTTCTCCTCGACTAACTGCAGCATTGTTTTCTCACATCTAAACAAATTATGTAGATCTAAAGCAACTGGTCTTGATAATATTTCTGCTAAAATTGTACGTGAATGTGCTGATCTTATTTCAGTTTCACTATGTGATCTCTTTAATAAATCTTTAGTCTCTGGTATATTTCCTGATGATTGGAAATGTGCTAGAGTTACTCCGTTGTTCAAGGAAGGTGAGCCATCTGATCTGAATAATTATCGACCTATTTCAGTCATTTCCGTTATAGCTAAAGTGTTTGAAAGGATTGTTTATGATCAGTTGTATAACTTTTGACCAATGAAGATATCATTTCTAATCATCAATCGGGTTTTCGCTCGTTACACTCAACTGCAACTGCCCTTCTGGAAGCTACGGATAATTGGGCCTTTAATATTGATCGTGGCAATGTTAATGCTGTGGTTTTCCTCGATTTAAAAAAAGGCTTTCGACACCGTTGACCACGATATCCTTCTAGCTAAAATGAACCTTTACGGAATACAAGGTACAGCTCTTGATTGGTTTAGGTCGTATTTAACTAATCGTACACAACGATGTCTTGTTAACGGTTCTCTTTCTAGAATCTGCTCTCTTAAATGTGGGGTACCGCAAGGAACAATCCTTGGCCCCCTTTTTATTTCTTATTTATATTAATGACTTGCCAAACTGCCTTACTTCGTGCCAGCCTAGAATGTATGCCGATGACACCCACATTACTTATGCTGGCGTTGATGTGAATTCAATACAGTTAACTCTGAGTCACGATTTAGATAACCTAAACAAATGGCTTATTTCCAATAAACTTACTTTGAACACTTCTAAAACTGAATTCATGCTAATTGGCTCCAGACAAAAATTGAGTACTTTGTCGAACCCACTTGAGCTCTCGATTAATAATGTTCCGATAGAACACGTTTCCTCTGTCAAATCGCTTGGAATATTTATTGATGAAAATCTACGGTGGCAAACACACATTGATAAATTATCTAAAAAGGTCGCTTCCGGAATTGGAGCAATAAAAAGAATTAGACCTTTTGTCCCTCCACCTACCCTCCACTATATATACAACTCACTAATTCAATCTCATTTCGATTATTGCAATCTTGTCTGGGGTAATTGTGGTAAAACATTATTTGACAGGCTACAGAAGCTTCAGAACCGTGCCGCTCGCGTTTTAACCTTCTCTAGCTATGATGCTGATGCTAACCGTTTGATTAGACAACTCGATTGGAAAGACTTGAGCACTCAATTTCAAATACAGAAATCCATAATGGTATACAAGTCTTTAAATGGCCTTGTTCCTGAATATTTATCATCTAAGTTTGTTAAACGAAATGAAACGCGTTACTCCCTGAGGGACTCTGTTAACAAACTATTTGTCCCATTTCCGCGACCTAATTTCATGAAAAACAGCTTTACTTATAGCGGAGCAGTTCTCTGGAACAGCCTACCCTGTCATGTGAGAGAAGCCGAATCTCTTAGTCAATTTAAAAGATTAGTTAATGTTCATTTTTAATGTTATACACGGCATTCATGAAAAACAGGTTTTAGTTAGATTAGTTGTAGTCAGGTTTTGAATTTTGTTTAGGATAGTTAGGTTATTTTTAATTTTTTAAATTCCTGATGGATTTTACCGTGTTTAAATAAAGATTGACTTGACTTGACTTGACTTTGAAAGCTTATCGTATGAAAGTCTAAACTATTGACACTTACTAAGCCCAATAAGTTTTCCACGATCAAGAGCCTGTATGTTATTGCCAACACCAATGATTCTCCCAGCCACACCTTCCACATCCTGGCCAGAAACTTGCAGCGTGAAGTCATGATTTGTTGACACTGGAACAGACAGTACCATTCGAAAAACGATATCTTCCCCTATGGTTATTACACTGGAATCTTGAGTAGGGTGAGGAACATTGCTGCTTATAACATTAAGAACAGAGGCTCTGACAGGTTTTATGTTTAACGTCTGCACATAATCTCTATTTATTGGTAACCAACCAGTACGTGTGTAAGCCATTGTTAAGATGTTGGCATGAAAGCTGCTTGCTGCCACAGAGGGTCTCACTAGAGAGAAAACACTACCATTAACCCAAGAAGATGAATTTAACCTGTGGGTAGATAGTAAAATATCATCACATGTTAGAAAATGACAAATATAAACAATTTGTTACATTGTGTACCAGATTGTTTTTGGAATACATAGTTGCCCATCCCAATAAATTAATAATGATATAAAGTTATTACATAACTTACTGTAACTGTACTGAAAAACTATGCTCCTTGAAACATTAATTAACATACTGCAAAAATTACTATGAATAAAGCACATCTAGAAATAATATGTCATGCTTCATAAATTTAAATGTTTAAAATTTTTAATAAAATAACCTATAATACAGGTACATGTAAGAAATTTCAGTGATGCAATTTTGTCATGGCATATACAACGCATATTGTTGATGCAAAATCATACATGCCAACTCTCCCAGATTATCGGGGAGTCTCCCAGATACGGCACCAGTCTCCTTGTGTCCTGTATGGGTAACCAAATCTCCTGGATAAAATCAAGTTATGGGATTTTCTGTGCTTTAATTTGGAATTTATCCCATTTTTCATCACTGAAAACGATTATTTCACCATTACAGTCATAAAAGTGAATTGTGATGGTCTGTACATCATGTAAGACTTCATATAATGTCCTAAGCCATTTCTATGAGGTAAATTAGGGATTGGATTGAATTACGCTTATCGGGGGTGGGGGTAGGGTCAGGGGGGTGGGGAAGGGGTTAGGGGTTGGACGTTCCAGATTTTAGATTTCCAGAGGTTGGCATCTCTGCAAAATACTAGTGCAGGAATAAGCCTAGGAGTTGTCACTTTGTTGCTTTAAAGTATTTAAGGAAAAACATTCAAGAAGAAGAAAGGGATTTGACATTTACTTCTGTTTTCCAATTAAAGCCAGGGATCATTAGTTTAAACCCAAGCCCCAAACATACAACTGTACTTTGCAATCACATTTTCTATCACTTTTTTAAATACATAACCCATAAATTATTACAGACTCTGTTCATTAGCTTTTTTATAAGGCAGGTGAAAAGTTTCCTTTTACTTACAATGTAAATAGCAACAAAATAGGAAAATATCCTACCTTGGTAAATTCACTGTCAGCCCTGAGCTAGAATTAACCAGCATACCTGCAGTTTCCATCAAATCCAAACACTTGTACAAACTTTGATTAGAAAATGAGATATTTTCACACAAGTTAACCGACAGTTTTTGGAGTTGTAAATGAGGCCTGGAAATAGTAATGTTGATGATGACATTTCCTGCAGCAGCTGTAGAAACATGAGGATTCTTCACTTGAAATTTAAGCTCAGCCACATCGTTGCCTTCATAGCAACAATCTTGGGTTAATACAAAATTTGTCTTGAGTAGTGGTTGTCCAAGCTTTAATGCCAAAAACGTTTCACCAGCAATAACATTTATGCCTTGGGATGAAAAATACATAAGAAAACAAGTAACATTTCCTTCAGAATCTGGTATATACACTCCTTGGTTTGAGTCTACCTTTGCTGTGATTTCCACAGTTATTGTGCCATTAGATGATTCATTTGCTGGGTTGAAAGTTTCCCCAAAAATAAACTGTGCTACATCAGGATGTGGAAATCTGTGATCATCAGACAGACTAAATTCTGGAGGTGAACCAACACTGAGTTTATGAGATGAAACACCTTGTGAGAAGCTTTTCACATAACTATGAAAAAATGTCATGGGTGTCGAATTTGCGAACGCAGGAAGTTTTATTACTAGTGTAAGGTTTGTAGTTAATCTTGGAAGCTGGAAGGTGGCAGCAAATGTCACTGACTCCTCTGATGTAAGGGTAACATTTGGTGTCTCAAGAATTGAAGTACTTGTTATTGTGAGCTGAAGGTTTCCAGGGACTGGAGTTGTGTACGATGACATGTAAAATTGCTTGGTTTCATTTGCAATGATAACATTTCCTGAAATATTCAATAAACTACCTGCTTTTGCTAAATGCAGTAACCTTAGCCGCACATCAAGAGTTGAAGCCCAACTAGTAACATTCTGCAACATTATGTCAAACTCCATCACATTAAACTGTTGGCTGTCAGTTTGATATATGGATGAGTTAATCTTCATAGATGGCAAGAGAGAGCAGTTTAACAAATCCATGAAAATGGTACCATTCAGGTCCCCACTCAGATTCTTTGGGTATACGATTTCAAAGACAATTGGTAAAGTAATCACAAATTTTATGAACACAGTTTTGTTATAAAGCTCCTGGCAGGCAGTTGAGTTACTGACAATGATATCATTTGTCCCATTATAATTGAAATGAAATGTCAAGTTCAGAAGATCTCCTCCTTGGATCACACTTGGTGCTAAAGGTGAAGTCGTTGAGGCTATTGAAAGTCCATAACCAGAAAAATTCAATGCCATTTTAACTGTTATAAACAACAGATGTGTTCTGCAAATCAATTCAAACATTTAAGTGTACTCACATACAATCGCAAGATGAAACAAACAAGTACTACTATAATGTGATGCAAGTATTTTATCTGCAAGATCCCTCCCAGATCTCTTGTAGATGAAGCCGACAGGCAATCACATGCACAAATCGGATTTGACCAGATCTCGCCTTCAGCTTCATCAACAAGATAGTTATCTCAACAAAAGTATTCCCAAGTAAATATGACTTTTTAAACCTAATGTGTCAGTCATTCCAAAAAAGTCCCTTGCCTGGTCTAAGGAAACCCTGGAGCATTCGATATTGTTGAAAACTTTTGAACATTTTTTTTTGTTTTGACAAATAAAAGTAATAAAGCTTGTACATGTGTTGTCCATTTGATAGATTCGCAAAATGCACCTATAAACCATTGATGACCCTTTTCTGATACATTTAATATTTTTTCTTCTGCATTTCACAGTGTGGCACATTGGCCATGATCAATTCTCTCGATTGGTTTGTAAGGGTTTACTTTGAAGTAAGGCTATTAGATGTCCACTAATCATGAAGCCAAATAATGATAAATTTCCTTCCATCTTGGAACAAGATGTATGGGATTACCTGCAGATAAAAAATCTAGACTAGTTATTTTACTGGTAGGTTTTCATTTCAAATATGTTTTTTTTTTTAACTAAATCTCTTTTCTTTATGTAGGTAGATTATCAATCAGAGTTGTTAACAGGGGTCACACAAGAAGAATTAGGGTTAGAATAAGAATGTCAGCTACTACTATATGTAGAAAAAAAAATCAACCCGCTGCAAGTGGTTTCTGAAGTGAGGGTAGGGGTAATGTAAAGAACATTATCTTCTGCTTTTGTTTTTATTTTCAAGCTGAAAATGAATAACTACAGTGTTGCTTCCATGATACCCTCATGGCTCAACCTCACAGGTGAAAAGGAATGGGTGCACTTTTGAAACTACTTCTGCAATGCAGGAAGGGGTATAGAGATTTTTCACTCACGTGGCCTTGCGACAAAAGGAAATAAGGGAATGTAATAAATGATGGTCCCTAATCTTGCGTCAAGAGCCAGGGGGGGAGGGGTAGATGACTGACACATGATCTTAACTAGCAACAGGCCAAGAAAATAAAACTTGCTTAATTTATGATGATTCTGTTAATTCTGGTATGTACTCATGAGTTGAGCATAGGGATTACATTCTTTTGGCTTGACAAACTTATAAAGCTTATATGCATGCAAGGACCAAAGGGCACTCCTCAGCTTGCATCCCAGGGGAGGGGGGTACTCCCAGGAATTCCTGGTGGGGTGTGCCATCTGGTTCTCCAAATTTTGACCCTATTTCAGACCAAAAAATGTAAATATTTTCCACACCCGTTTTCAGACCTGGCCTTTAAGCAGAAATTACGTTATCATTACTTAGACTGGAGTACAAACAAAACAATTCTTCAAATGCATTTCGAATTTGCATATATCCCTTTCTTCCTTACTCATCTAGAATTAAAACAGTAAATATATATGTCGATACACTTCTGTCGTTCCCTCAAAAACCATACCCAATTCCAGACCAGAATGGGCAAACTGTATACCTGTTTTCAGACCAAAACGGCACAAAAAACCTGCCTGATGGGGCGGCACATACCTATATAGCTTGAATAAGGAAGTACCCCCTAGGGGCTTGCATGTACAGTATGTGCTAAGCCAAAATAGAAAACGTACAAATCTAGAGGGGGGCATGGGGGTTTACAGTATTGCAGTGTTGGGCTCTTTTTCCTGCAGTATTTCGGTAATTTTAATTTTAACGTGTGGTATTGCAGTATCATCTAGCTCTGCGGTATGTGGTTTTTCATCATTTTGGCTGACGGTGTTTGGTGAAATAAGATTGTTCACGGTATTACGGTACCATTTATTTGTGCTTTCCTTTTGATACAATATGCAAAACAAAACATAGTAGGACATAAAGGTCAATGAAAGTCAATATTAGAAGTCTTGAGACATGACGGTAAATAATTACACCATTTGTGGATCATTTTGTGACAGTTAATGGTTGATAATACCATAATGTGACTGTTGTTGCATCCAATGACAATGATTCGTCTCAAGTTACCTTACCAGGCTTTTCAATCTGTGTACGTGTGCCGGCAATTCGAGGTCTTACAAATTTTCTCACAATGGCTGAGGTCGCCAAGGCTGAAGACAGTGAAGTCATCATTGACTGTGTGGCAATTTCTTATGAAGAGGGTGAAGGAGGCGACCATTATCGCAAGAAGAATAAGTTTAGATTTCAGGTTTCAAGAATTGAAAAATGCCTTGTAAAGTTAAAAGAGAGGATTTGGTAAGTTTGCTTCTTACCAGCGCGACATGTGAGGATAGTTGACCCCTGAGAGACTAAGGCCCGGTTCAGACGCCGCTCCACTCATGTGCCGAACCTGACTGATGAATTAAATACGGCAAAAGAGCGGCGTCTGAATCAATTTGGTACGGCAGTTTTAGTTTGTTGTGGCAAAAGCGTTAAGTTGGACAGAGTCTGTCGAACTTTTGTCGAACTTAACTTGGGTTCGACACACGGTACGCCGTGTGAATCAGATGTCGCGCCAGTGTCGCTCCAAAGTCGAACTTATTCAGTTAGGTTCGGCACATGAAAAGTACAGCGTCTGAACCAGGCCTAACCTACCAGACTAGACTCACTTTATATCAAAACTTGCACTGGACGTGCATGGAAAGGGTTTTGGTTTGTTTTATGTTTTCGCCCTTTCTAGGGTTATTTTTATTGGAGTTAATTAGCTGTTGGGTCGAACTACCAAAAGGTTGAACCAATATAGTTTACTTTTCAGTGAAAATTTGTGAAAAATTTGCGAACTACTAAAATACCAAAACAAAAAACATGGACATCTGGTGCATAAATGCCGGAGATAATTAAACGCGCTAGATGAAAGCAACCATAAGTATGCGGAACCGATCAAAATGTGATTAAAATATGTGTTAACGGTATTTAGACGATTTTCGACGTGGTACTTCGGTATTTGCCACTTTTGATTAAGATGATGATACCTTTATTAAAGTGTCAAAACTGTAATAGCGGTATATAACCACTAAGTGGGGACACTAAAATAAATTTAAAAAATAAATCAATTAATAAATTAATTAAAATTAAGAAAAACTATGTACAGTATAAGCAAGTGAGAAATTTGAGAGAACTATATACAATATGTACAAATGTATCCATTATCTTATAAAAAATAAGAAATAAAAGATTAAGAAGTGCAAAGAGAGCAGTTAGAGCACTTATTGTCATCTAATAGCATGCTAAGATCCACTTTTCTGATGTTATATTTGAAGGAGGACAACGTGGAAGCTTTTTTCACGTAACTAGGAACAGAACTCCATACCCTTGGGCCCATATACCTGAGCAAGTGCTTTCCAAAGGAGACTGTGTATTGCGGTATTGGGTACCCCCTCAATTTTCCCGCTCACGAACTTTGCTTTGGCATTTCCATTAACACTCAAGTCACTTCTTCTATTTGACCAAGAGCTAGGACAATCTAGAACTTACACTTCAAATCACGAAAATATTGAATGCTCAGCTGATTCTGTTAAAATAATTTCAATATTAATTTCGTCGAGCTATCACATGTGTAAGCTTACATATAAGAAGCATAAATGTACAGACAGATCATCATCTATTTAAGTGAAAAAATTGTTCTTTAGAAGGTTTATTTATATAACTGAAACGTAAATCCGTACGAAACCAACAGATCTGCAGCAGATCTGCAACAGATCTGTTTTATGAAAAACAGACTAGCTACAGACCATTTTATCGTCTGCAAAGTCTGTTTTCAGTCTGTAGCAGACGCATTGCCTTCATCGTCTACAAAGGTGTTTTCCTGCAGACGAGAAACAGATGAAAAACAGATCTGCACATGATCTGTGAAGTCTGCAGAGTCTGTAAGCCGTCTTAATTAATTTAGCGCGCATGTTTATCAATTCGAAACAGGCAACTAATGTCTCTCCGGTCGGGTCCATCCGCTGCTTTGTCGATAAATTCAAACATAAGCTTCATCCAATTATTATAAAAAGCGTTGGAAAATTACCATTTTCATTTCATTTTATTCACTCTCAAGACTTATGTAGCTTTTCAAAGTACATTCATGAATGCTGCTGGTAAATCAGTTTCTTTTAAAAAACATGACTGAGTACTTACCAGTTTTACACAGCAACATTAAACGAACGCCATGTGCCTCATCGTTCATGACAGTTCAACTTAACTCAAAATAACATCTTACGGACATGGAGTTTTAAATTCATGTAAATTCAAAATAAATCTCAAAAATGTATTCTTTGGAGACCTTCCGTGACTGATACGCGATCGGGTAATTCCCTGGAGACATTCCAGAACTTAATCTAATTGGTCCGCACTTTACTAGAAGATCCTATTACTCATCTTCCTCGCGACCGTTTTTCTGCTTGAATGAAATATGCAATCGGTTTCTCGCTAACTAAGCAAGTTATTTGCGTTCAGTTTGGATTCAAAAAGTTAAAAAAGGTTTTTAGCTGTTTATAGAGCGAAGATGGAAAAAGTACTGGTTAAAAATCAACTGTGCCTCAAGCGACTCTCAACGAATGGGAAACAGACGACGCTTGCGTAGGAATTAACATTATGTTGCAAGAGTCTTGATCAAAGATTATTTGCTCAAGTTATGTATGCCCGTTTAGTCCATCACCCGGAACATAGCAAAAACTGAACCACAAATGAATTGCTCCATTCATAAAGAAATGCAACTAATCGCGGATCATGGAGGAAACGAAGAGGTGAGCGACTTGAAGTATAGGCTAATAGCGCTGCGTGTTACAAACCAAACCGTCGCGTAGGAATTAACCGCATTCATGTGATTGAACAGTTGCGTTTCCTCTCTTATAGCCTCCGACAAAAATCCTTCTTTGTTATTGAGCTCGGTTATTTCAATGTCAGCATTTTGATGTGTTATTCATTGAAGAAATTTAAGCGAGTGACTGTGACTGTGTGTTTACAGGCCAGATTGTTGTGATTTAATTTTGTTTCTCATACCCGCGAGCTGGGACTTCTCAATGTTCTCTCGTTTTAATTTTGTTGTTTGCATTGTTTTATTACTAAAGTGATAGGCATTCAGTTGTAGTTAACGGTTATCCTAAGCTTTTTCGGCGCAATTTGAGAGATTATTTTATGTATTTACGATAAAAATAAAAGGTGTTTGATTGGTGCAGTACGTCTGTTATTGTGCTTACTATATACCTCCTTCGTCTGCAGAACGTCTGCAAAAATTGCAGATCATTTCTGCAGACATTCTGAAGACATTTTGCAGATATTCTGCAGACATTCTGCAGACAATTCGCAGATAATCTGTAGATGATCTGTAGACTGTCTGCAGATCTGCTGCAGATGTTTCAACAGATCTGTAGCAGACTAAAAACAGATCTGCTCGTTTCCTACGGGAATTTAAACACTGTTTCGAGAATAGAAAGAATATAAAACCTTCATGATCAGCTTCTTTAGTTAAACTTAAACTTACCCAATACTCACTACAAGTTGTCTCCCCACAGATCGGAAAAAGCGAGGGCTGGTTTTGATGACTTCAACAGTTCGACCCTTTTCCGGTTTTAACAATGCAAATACGCAAATACAGCGACACAATCAAGAGTGTGACGTTCAGAACTCAATATCTACATGTAAGACAAGTTTCATGATCCATGGCCACTCTTTAATCCGTCGAGCAGAACCTCCATCTTTTCGGTGCTTGTTGTCGTGGTTACCTCAAACAGGCGGTAACGACCGCTGTGCCAGGTCCGGGAAAACGTGGATTCACAGCTCAAGATCATGAAAATTCATACAAACAATAGACCTTGTCACGAGTAGGCAAACGCGTGAGAAATTACAGTGATTGTATGAGAATCTAATTTCGAATAATTTCCTTAGAACGGCTGTTCTGAAAAAAATATGGTTTGTAAACTAAAGCTTCACTCCTAAGGATTCTCCTGAAAAAAAATTGAGGGCGTTACATGCACTAGAAGACCTAGAACCTCTTTTTAAAATTTTCTATGCATTTGTCTGTAAGAAAGTCCCGGGGAAATTACAGACAAATATATGGAAAATCTAAAGAAAGCCTCTGGAGAAATTTAAGCACAGGTACGCCCCCCAATTTTTTTAGGACAATCCTTTGCTTTGTAGCTTTAGTTTACAATTGATATTTTGTTCAGAACAGCCGTTTTATGGAAATTATTCGACATTAGATTCTCATACAAACACTGTAATTTCTCACGCGTTTGCCTCGAAAACCGTGACAAGGTCTATTCTAAGCAAATATTAAATGATGAAGTTCGAGTGACGCCCTCAACTGCAGTAAATTTAAAATGAAAGGTTTAAATTTCGAGCTTTCTTCGCCGAAAAATATCAATTATGTAAACCTTTTCGCGGTTTACATCTTGGCTGGGGGGGCAAACACGGCTAAAATTTCAGTGAATGTCAAGATCCATTATGGCTCTTGTGAATGTATGGGATTTTGGCCCACTTGGAACTGCTATAACGCCGCTACAAAGAGGCGGATTTCCACAGCGAAAATGTGTTTTAAAAGACATTTGTACTGAGATTATTTTCATGAAGAGATTCAGGTTATCGTGACCGTAAAGTAATTTTTAAGATTTCATACAAACCGTTTTTAAAAACCATAGCCTTCCACGCAGGCGTTTTTAGGGGAGGATGAAAAACGAGCCCCCCTAAAAACGCCGGCGTGGGAGGCTATTTAAACCACCACCCACACACGCTTTGGGATCTGACACAGTGGCGGATCCAGGGGAGGGGCCCAGGGGCCCCCCCCCCCCTTATTTTTAGACCACACTGAGGACCCCCCCCCTCCCCCTGCCTTTATCGCAGGGTCTAGATGATGTATGTATGTATGTTCATACATATTAACAAAAGAGGATAAAGGGGACAAAGAAGGCATCCCCCATACACACCCTATTCCATAGGTAATTCGTCTCGAGTTATTTTTAGAATCGGGATAAAGTTACCTCGCGCGCTGCGTGGATGTTTCGTGGAGGTTTCGCTTGACTAAACGCCGTGCAAAACATGTCGGCCGAAAGGCAATGAAAGCGTAGAGATTGAGAACATTCCTGAATATTGAAGCGAAATGAATCGGCGCTCGCCTAGGAAAAGGGAATCGCTGGACTCTTTGACAACCCGTGAAATTAGTTTAACTCGAAGTTGTCGTAACCCGCTAAGAGCTTTAATAAAATGAGAAACTTCACTGGTCTATTGAAACCGGTCGTTGGTACAATAAAGCAAGTAGGACGCCAAGTGTTATTTTTTTGAATAATAAAAGACTAATAAAAGAATAAATATCAAACCAGAAATTGCTCTCTTCAAACTGTAAATTATAAATGATCCTGAGAGAATATTCAGTATGTTAACGATTTCCCTGCTGTACTGTTAGCTCTATACAAGAGAGGAAGGGCGATTCTTTTTTAATTTCTGTTTCGCTGACACAGCTTTAGCAGAAATCTTTCTGTAGTCGTTTTCGTCGAGAAAACGAATAGCAATAGCAATATCGCTCTGCGCCATTTTGTTCCGCGTCAGTTCGTGAAGGACGCGTGGCTCTGAGCGTGGGTCATCCACGCGGAACACATTCTCGCTATGTGATTGGCTGTTGTCTAATCGCCCTTTGGATCTGTGGTGTTAAAAAGAATTACCTATGGAATAGGGTGTGTATGGGGGATGCCTTCTCTGTCCCCTTTATCCTCTCTTGATATTAATAATCACAGGAGTTCAAGCTTCAGAAGTAATCATTGATCGTTTATTGCGACAGTGCTGTTTCGTACGGTCCGAAAAAAATTACCTTACTCTAGAGTTCTGAAGTACATTCCTTGATATCTGTTTATGTGGGGGCATGAACTCGCTAGTCCGTTTGGCCTGTTTAGGCTACAAAGCTGTTTTTTACAAATGAACTCCCTCCTCCCTACTTTTTGGGGCAATTTCTCCCTCCTCCCTAAACTTGGTTTAAAAATTGGCGGGGGGCAACAAACAATTCCTGCACTAAGTCGTAAAGGAAGTTTTCCGACCTTCGGAGCTTCTCCTCTACACCAACATACGGCACGAAGATTGCATAACCACCGTATGTCATGCATTCGAAGAATTTTTTGGAGAAAAAGCCCCGTGGGGTAATTCAGGGATTTCTTGATGGGGGTGTGCCACCCGGATCTCCAAATTCTGACCCTATTTCAGACCAAAAAATGTCATTATTCACACCAGTTTTCAGACCTGGCCTCTAAAAAACAGTGTCATCATTACCGTAATGATTCTATTTAGCGCCTTCCTTCCAATAAGCGCCCCCTTTGGAATAAGCAACCCCGTTTGAGTGTGTTTTTGTTAATAAGCGCTCCAATAAATGCCTCCATTCTAATAAGCGACCCCGTTCTATTAAGCGCTCCTATTCTAATATTATAACATTAGTATACGGCTATGTATCAACCGAGGTTCATTTTCCTTTAATTGCTTACAAACGGTAATGCCAGGGTACAAAGCAAAGATCCTTTCGACGGGATTATCGAATGGGACGTCGAAAAAAGCACACTGAGAAAGCTTTCATTTACGGTATTGATGTAAGTGACACTGTCAAAGATATCGGCGTAGAAATAGATCAAAATTCCCTCACGTTAACTGAACAGTATATTCACCGTATATTTGTTACTGTTGCAGCTTCCGTTATTGTCCCGTTTGTTAAAACTATTAAAGTATTTTTTTGAACATTCGGTTGTTTCTCAAAAAAGAAATAAGCGCCCTGTCACGAATAAGCGCCCTTGAGGTACCAAAAGTAAATAAGCACCACGAGCGCTAAATCGAATTATTACGGTACTTAAATTAGCTAGAACAGCAACAAAAAAGATGTGTTAAAATCCATTTCGAATTTTCATATTTGACTTTCTTTCGTAGTCATTTGAAACTGAAATGATAAATACGTTCACATACTCCCTTAGTTCCTTCGAAAATCATACCCGATAGGCAAAGTCTATACCCGTTTTTATACCAAAACGCTCCCCCGCCCTTCCACCAAAAAAAAACTAATCGATTCCGGGATTTTTTTGGGTAGTAAATTCTGGCAAGTATTTTCTTGTCATCACGCAAGTTAAAATAAGCCCTAAAATGACCTCCTCATCGATATCTCCCTACTCCCACAACATTTCATTTTTTCCCTCCTCCCTACTTTTTCAGGTCCTTTCTACCTCCTCCGTATTGTGTCCGTAAAGACAAAGATTACATTTTTTGCTAATGTTTCTTTAGGGTTTACATTTCTTTAAAACTTTCCATTTTATCTGGAAAGGTTTCTTAGAGTCTTGTAAAGTCCGAATATATTTTGAGAGTTCCGTTTCGAGGGGGGCGTAAGGGGGGCACGAATACCGGAATACCGCACATGGTAGCGCGAGAATACCGCAATACTGCATCAAAATTTAGCCAAATACCGAAACCGCAGTTACAAATGGGAAAAAGTTGGCATTGTCGATATTACAAATCCTCCTTTCAAATAGAAATAATACTTTTATGTCAGTGTTTCCAAATCAAGGTGCGTCGACGTCAAGCGTGCGATATAAACATAAGAACATCGCACTCGTTTAACTTTGTTCATTACATGTATACGTTTACCTAAATGATACAACGGGGTTACTTGGGTTAATTTTCTTGGGTATGTGCCGCTGGCCTCTCAGAGCCCCTACCCCATTCTGTGGCCAATTATAGACCCCATCTTAGTCACTTTTGTACAAATATTTAATTTTCGCGATCCCAGCTTAGTTACTTTCTATTTTATGAATTGACCATTTTTTCAGATTGAATGAAGAACACTTTACTTTTCATCTACAGTACAAACATTCTGGTACGTTTGCTAACCGTAAATATGAAGAACTGTCTTGCCCTAAAAAATCAGAAAATGCACGACCCCATTCTAGTAACTCTCTTGAAAATGCGCCCGCATTATAGTCAATCAACTCGAGAAAGTGCGAACATCCCCATTAGGCTCCTATAAGGAGGTAACAGCCCCCGCCTCCCCTCGCCCCCCAGGCTGCCATGCACAACTAGAAGGACGAGTGAGTAATTTTCAGACCACACCATCTTCATAGATTATCTTTCGACACTACGCAATTTACAACGACCTCACTGACCTCACTATTTACTGGAATATCTGACTGATCACTTAGTTGACCCTCTAGATCGCTCGCCATTGTTTCGCGACTGCCACGAAAGTGGCGGTAAGATTGGTAAGGAGGTTAACCAAGCTGACTATTCCCACAAGGTCCATGAGGTCATAAATAATGCGACATGTTCACGTATCATTGGATAAAAAACTTAATGTCGTTACTCGTATCAAGTATTAACTGAAATTACAAGCCATACGATTTGCCTAGACAGTTTGCGCAATATACGAACCCCGACTGTGCAACTATAGGAAGACAAGCAGGTCACGCAGGCTAGCTAGGGAGACCTTTTAGGATTTGTATCCTCTAGTCATGAAAAAGAAGCAGATCACCACGACACAACGATTTTTTCACCGACTACCGCGACATAAAATTTAAACTCACCGCACACCGCTTGGACTCTGAAAACCCCAATACAGTACTTTGAAATAAAAATTACCGCAACACCGCACCAAAAATGACCCAATACCGCAAACCCTTACGCCCCCCTCCGTTTCATTTCTTTTGTTCGAGCGTCGAAAGGAGGACTGATGGTTTCTGTAACGTTCCTTAACGTTTGTTACCAGTCCGACGTAAGTTTCAGTTGTCGTCGCTGTGGTTACAGTGGCTTAGCAGATTACATTTGGTTGGAGGTATTTTCCTTCGAGTGGACGGCAATCTGGTTTCTTTCTGCAATTGCAGGTGTCTGTTTGTTGCGGGTTAGGGTTGTTGCATAATCCTTAATTCTAGACTTCTACACACTCTACAATCTTAAAACTGTGATCAATCGCCCCTTAAAATTGTGATAAAGACATAATTCAATAAATACATCAATTGTCTTCATCATCATCACTTGTATTATCATAGCTATTGTCACTTTCATCATTGTCATCAATATATTCATCACCACCATTTCGAGAAAGCTCGTCATCACAGACCAGTGGCTTGCTTTAAGCACTAACTTCTCACGGGACTTAATTTTACGACACTTGCTCCCTGACAACCACTTGTTCCTTTCTTTAACTTTGATGGGAATAACTTTCATTTTGCCTCAATTTTTAAAGTCCAAATTTTAAATGAAGTTGCGCTCAGACAGGTGGTGAGAAAACGGATTAGTTTTTAAGATCGCAAGAATGAAAATACACCAAACTTTCCTAGCTAGCATCGAAGTGTGATATTAAGCAGCATTCTGACGCTACTTAAGAATAATTTGGGTCATTTATAACGTTTTTTTAAATAATCAATCACGGCTGCTAAAAGTTTAAGGTTTGAACTATATTTTCGTTTTAGTCAATTTAAACATATAGAATTTTTTACTTGTTACGGAGGTTATTTGCTAAACACCAAACTTTAAGTTCTCAGTGTTGGATCGCGCAAAATTAGGCGTTTATCAATTTCAAAGCTCTTTCGTTTATTGTGGTCATGGTAATATCGATTTTACTAAAATCTACATTTTGACAAATTTCAATCTATAGTCAATCATTGGTGAAAATTTTGTAGCGATCAAACAAGGATAAAATCACTTTTAAAGCGACTGAAAAATATCGCTATGGCCTCCGAAAAACTATTATATCGAAACACCTTGAATCTTTAATATTTTCATTTGCTAATTTAAAAACAGTTCGTAGGGTTTTCAAAAGCCTACGCTTTGAGCGTTTTTTTGTCTGCTTTTGATTAAAAAGCAGGGTCTGGTAGGTAGAGCTCTGATAACGCTACACAAAGCGAAGGGTCGATCGCTCCTTCAATTTCTCAAGTTTTTCTCTTGATTGCTTACTAGATCTTATTACAAAAATGCCAAGTCTCTATGCAGAAATTGAAATGCTGCAAAATGAACCCCTCACTTGTAGGTTTTGAAAGGGAAACATCTTCTTTATTATATTCCATACCGATCGACCGACCCTTCTCCTTCTTGTGTTGCGCCTTGTATTATTGTATTCTTGGTGTTTTGAGGCCGTAAGGTAAGACCACGCTTGGTCATTCATTTTTCTCGCTCCAAACAGACAACACGTGCTCATAAGGCAGATGTGTTACCTCCTGTTTTTAGCCACGGCATGGAATCCAGAATCTAAAACTGTCTTGGATTCCCTTACATGTGGCGAAATGAATACAAATCGGCTATCAATTTATACAGTTTTCGTCTTCGTATAACTCACGGAATTAATTAGAGTTAAAATAAAAACAATTTCAGACGATTTCGGTTAACGCCTTTAATTCTTTCGATTAACTAGAAATCCATAATGAGTTTTAAGTATGATGCATGTACGGTGTTTTATCTGAGCAACGAAGCCATTTTAATAATAAATAATCACGTGCACAAGTGACCAAAAGTACATTGCCGTGATTGTCACAACTGTATTGTGGTCTGGTCGTGTCAACTTCGACTTTCGTTTCTCCATTGATCATTGACCCGCCACGATCAATAGTCGATTAAAATGGTTTTGTTACTCCGCCTTTTCATTCAAACGTTAATATTACTTTCAGCTTTTATCAAAAGTAAGTAAATTCTCGTTTGTTCATTGAAGGACGTGTTTTTAAAAGAATGTTGTTTACACTGTCGTTCTTTCTAATTTCAGCTTGTGTAGCGGCCAACGACATTGCTGTAAATTTTACTAAAGTACCGAAAAACACTGAGTTTTTCGTTGGTACTGAGGCAATCCTTCAATGGGAGTATTCCAGTGGCCTGCCTGCCGACCCTGTGCGAAAGATAAAGTTTGGAATACAGGAAAATGAAAATACGGATGTCGCAATTTTCGTTAAAAATGTCTCACAAGGGAATGTAAAGACTAACACTAAAATTCGATTAGATGTGATAGCTCCGCTGAATGGCCGCGTGCATGTTATTGAAAATAAAACGGCAACTTTTAGAATAGCAAACTTAACGCTCAACGACTCCAAAAGGTATTTTTGTACTCTGAAGGCAGACAGCGATTCCCCATGGACAAAAACTCACTATGTGGACGTAAGAGTGGTGGGTAAGTGGGATCTTGTATTAATATCTTTGAAATATATCCCTGACTTAACTATTTTTTGAAAAAGGAATATCGTGCTGGCCGTCGCGTCAGGTATTTTTTAAAATACTTTCTTATGATTTGAGAAACGCATTTTAAAACATAAAATCGAACGTTTTTTTTATTGTTTGCTTTTTGCATTGTAGTTTGAGTTCTGGTTCCGATATTTGATATTTTGCTTTCGTAGTTTTTATATAAAATTGTAAGATTCATCACTTTCACTGGCTGGATCACGTCTGACCAATACGCGCTGACACATTTCGTATCTTTTCAATACTTTGAGGTTCATTTAAAAGGGAGTAACTGTGTGTTTTTCAGTTTTGCTTTAATGAAAGTATGTGACAGCGATGAGTTCTTTTATTTGCAAACAAAATCTCACCTGCACAACCGCTGCTTTTGGTCAAGTAATAACGAAGAAAAGACCAAAATGCAAATTTTAAAAACTCCCTCACATTTTGAAAGGACCATTTTCTTGTTCTCTCCTCTTATTTTAATCACCTAAAGGAGTTTTATTCAACACTGTTGCATTAATATTGAGAATTCTCTGTCAGAAGTCACTTAAATATTCACCTCACGCGGTTTCATTTGCCACAATGAATATAACTTACCGCATTGGACATTTCCAACATCTTTTCAAGCGGCCGCTGGAAAAGTCAAAGCATATCATTTTAAATATTAAAGTGTGTATGTTTCACAAAGTTTTACAATGATGCGTAATCTTATTTTGATGCTTGACAAACAAAGTGTATTCAGTCGACATTCGGATTCATTTTGTGCGGGAAACTTTGTCAGTTTACAGAAAATCTTTTTAAATTGCTGAATTTCGAAGTTCAAATACAGTACTATAATGTTTATGCTATTATTTGACCGATTCACCGGAACACTGAAAAGATCGTACAGCACGCTGAGTTCAGGCAGGGGATGGAAACATGACAATATTTTTATTCAATTGTTGTTTTTCCCATAGAAGATTTTTTTTTACTTTCGACTTGAACTTGGAGAGAAATAATGCTAAAAAATAAAACTAAAATATCCGTTCTTTCACGACAGAGAGAGAAAGATTGTAATCGTCAAAACTGGAAACATATGGTGATGCGGTTTAAATTGATTAATAGCAGGTTTTGTCGATATGGCTTATGATAATGAATTGATTCCGCAATGTATTCATACTTTCATTTTTAAAAACAAATAACAACAAAAGCGGGGTGAAGCAGGATTTAGTCTACATTTTTTTTCACTATTACATTTTGGCGTTTCCGGGTCAATATTTCCATCAATGACTGTTGATTGCCAGGAGGCCATCAGACGAAAACCGGGAGATTGACAAAACTTCCATTTCCAAAAAAATCATTTTGCAGAACCTTGCTTTGCAGCAGGTGTTTAAAACCAATTGACATTAATTTAAATAGACTATTTCTTTCTCAAGCTCACTACAGCGTATTATTGTACTGCATTGTGAGTTTATGGAGTCTGATTGACAGGCCTTTTAAATGCGCACCTACATTTTCCTTGGTCTTGTAGTAAAGGATAATTCATTCACTGCAATACGCAATACATCGTGACTTCAGCTGTAGAATTTTAAGAACTGTAGATCTTTTTTCAAATAGCAAGTTGACTTAAATACAGGGTGTCCAAAAAGTTCGTTCCTCTAATTTCATGCACTATATAAACTTTTGATCAAAACTTTATTTTTACTCGAAATTACCAGAAGATGTTTATTTCACTATCGAGGACATGTATTCAGAATTTCAGTTACTGGCATGCCCTTTTTGTTTTTTTATCACATTCAGTAGCAGTTGCGGCATGAAGTAGGATGTGTAGCCCCACAGATGATCCATTTTGAGCTTTTTTAGCACCTGGTGCCCAGGAGCCAGTTCAATAATATTTATATTGGGCATTCATCCAAAAAAGACAATCATCCCTTCCACAGCAAGGCTTTTGTACTTCTTTACAAATTTGAGCCAGCTGGGCGTTACTTGGTAGACTAAGCAGAGTTTTTTTGGCCATCTCAGGGGCCTTTAATTCTTTAAACATTTTAAACAGCTTTTCATGACGTTTCTGGACTTAGCTTGCTAACTATGTGGGAGTTTTCTCTTGGAGACGTCTCCCTTTTTGTATCTATCCTTCTTTAAAACTATTTTACCTGCTTTATTCAGGACTTTTGTCTTCCCCCTCGTTTCTTGCCTTCAAAACCTTCATTTCCCCATGAGCATTTTACCACCAACATTTCCATTTTTCCAGTTTTTTAGCAGTTTGTATAACAGATAAGCCAGTAAATCGAAGTATACATGCTTATGCTCTCACGTAGCTGAACGTTTTGCGTTAAGGGGGTTTATCTTTCTTGATATTCACAAAAAACAAGGAAGGAGTTCGAGCAATTCGGGCTATAAAATACAAAAAAAGAAACGGCTGGAAAATATACTCGCGCACGCGCACCTTTGGCGCGGAAGTACACAAATCGAATATTCGAGTCAAAAGATGGCACAACAAGTACGAAAATAGTGAATTAGATTGAAAGACACAACTTTTGTTTAAATGATTTGCTTACCAAGTCTAATCGTTCTGAAATACAGACTTTTAAAGTAGAGGAACGAACTTTTGGGACACCCTGTAGTTGTTTAATTGTGCACCAAAATACCAAATGACAACATTATTTTTCCACTGGGTCAACAGATCTCCTACAAGTAGCGTTCTGTACAGACTCTTCGTTTATTGCTACTTTCAAGCTGTTAGCTTATCTTAAGTTTTGCATCAAGAGTGGCAACACGGGTGGGCAATACACTGGGGTCATGGCTGCCCAGGTTGCACACTTTGGCCCTAACCTCGATTAATGGCTTGATCTTTAATTTGTCATCTTTGCGTGGCTTTTTCCTCTCTCCTTTCTTTAGCCTCTTTTTTATTGACGAAGCAAGGTAGACATATATTTCCTTGGCATTCTTCCCTTAATAATGGAATGAAAGTAGCAGAAAGCTATGCGTGCAACAAAGAATGCTGAGTGGCAGAGTCTGCAAGTTGATTCACATCTTCTTCACCTTATTGAAAAAAATTATGTGCTAACGATCGGGCGTTCGTAGAACTCATCCAGCTGCCAATAAAGTAAAGTTAGCGACTTTTCCCTCAAATCCTATTCATAAGTTTAACAGCCTGTTTGAATTTATGTGCTTTTTTTTTCAAATTTTAGATCTCATGATTGATGATCAAAAGTCAACTCGAGTGGTTGAGTCATGGGAAGGGCATAAAATCATTCTTCATTGCGTTGTGAAGAAGGTACTCCATGATGCCCCTGTGAGATTTTACTGGTTGCAACAAAACCGAACGCTGCCAGGTCCTCAAACTAGCTGGAAAACCCTAGGTCAGGTATCCCTAGTCACCGTGAACGACCAAGATTTTGAACCTGTGACGTGCGTGGCGGAAACCGAAGCTACAACACAGCGAATGGAAATAAATATAAAACGACTGTGTAAGTGCCGTTTCTCTGCGTTCCTGTTTCTATAATCGAGTTGTCATGTTACTTCATGGACGATTTTTGGAAAAACTTTGTGCCCTAAAAGAGGTTGGTCATTTGCAAAGGTGTTGGACTTGCTCAGAGTTCTCCCGAGTCCAACTCCTCGACCACTCTTGTAAAGAGCTTGGTTTGCCTCCAGCCAACTGTAATTCTAAATCCTATTATGTTTTATTAAATTGTTTGTTTTAGTCATTTGCTACTCAGCCATGTCGCAGCAACTTCCCCCAGGTTAGAGACTCAAAACGTTTTCCCAAATATGAGCACTTCCAAAAATATTGAAGCCTAGCTCGAACAGGCAAATTGACTCTTACGCTGCGAAACGTTTCTCATCGGAAATTACTTAAGGATATAAAGTATGCAATTAGCGGACGGTATTTCCTGGCCCTGAAGATGACCTAGTGTCGAAAACATGTGAATTTTCTTATTCTTGTAAATATACTTGGAGTTTTGAAAACCGGGTTAGCAAAAAAAATCAGCTCATTCTACTACTTGGAAATTTAAAACATATCTTTCATTGAAAGAACGTCAAATAGCCTTTATCTGACGCCAGGTAGTAAGTTAGTGGTCCCTAGTAGCATCTAACTGAATCTAAATAACTTGAAGTGACGCAAATCTTAGAACATTTATTCAGTAATCAGACTCCCTTGGAGTTTCAAACCGGTGTCATTTCAGTCAAGAAATTTTTAAGTTGAGTGAAATACAGTCAAAAAAGTACCTAATTAAAGCTTATGTAACAACTTAAAAGCTAGTTAAATACTACTATTTTCTCCGGCCAGTAAATGACAGGATGTTGCATGCAATAGACAACAAACATTGAAAATGCATAGTACACAATTTATCGATCACCTTCTGATCTGAGTTCTCCCTGTCAACACCATCCGGAAATCACACAATCATACACTTCCGTGGCGATGATAAGACTATCCACAACCACACATAATCTTTTCATGCTTAACACAGGCCAAATATCATCAAATAGGTCGGAAAACTCCGGCTTTTGGCAGAAAAACAGCACTACACACTTATCTTACACTCGTCTTATTCAAGTTCCCGGATGTACGGTCACACGGTCGCTAGACCAGCATAGACTCTGTTTTCACACCAGAAAAACTTCTTGACCCGGGTTCACCTGCAATTTTGCTCTCGCCAATTCAGTACTAGATTTGACTCCCAGAACTCTGCTTTCAAGGCCGAAGACTTAGTAGTCACCCTAGAAAAGCGAACAATATCCTACCTTTCTGTCTCATCCCAGATCAGAGTGATTGTTCCGTTTAGCCAAATGAAACGAGAATACGGTACGATATTGGACGATGCAGACTCTGCGAATCATGTTAACTTTGTCCCATCTCAGAGCTTTACATGATGCTCTCCGGGAAACGTTTTTCCAGGTGACTCGAACAACGAAATATTAACCGCTAAGCGGCACCGAAACCAGCTTTAGGTGCGCACTGGTTTCAAATAAGTGTCACTTGTGTTAGAGAGAGAATTGTGGGCAGGGACGAAAAAAGATCAAAGAGGGAGGGAGGAAGGTTAGATAGAATTTTCCCGAAATTCTGTCTTAAGTCAGTTTTGCAAAAATCCCAACCACGAAACAGCTAAGAAAAGTTACGACATAAAGAAACAAGACAGTAAACAAGCTAAGACTGGAGAAGTTGAGATAAATTACAAAATGTTTGCTAACCCGGTT